TTGATTTTTCTTCCTGTTCAACAGCTACAGATGCAGAGCTTCAATAAATGCTTATGTGGTCTGTCTGCCTGAACCTGGGATGTATCTTGTCTTAAAAATGTTAGAACTCTGTTACATTTATTCTGTTTGCTTCTATATGTCTGCTACAGGTCTTTAATTCTAAATGGTTGCAGATGCTACAGCAGTTATTATATGTCTCTCTTTCCAGCTTTTCCAGAAACAGACAAAATTGCTTCCTTCCATTCTTTGTAGCTGAAAAGGCTCTGTCACCCAGACTTAACATTTTTCAACTCTCAGCTTTATGGTTTAGGGGGAATGGAATTGGAGTGTTGAATTAATCCTGTGTGATCTAAGTGCCACTCAAATCTGAAAGCATGTTTCATCCACAAATAGCTCAGTTACTTGGAAAATTGTTAGTTTCTATTTGGCTTCCCTAGTTTCACTATTAAGGGTTATTTAAATACTGTGTTCTTCTTTCTGTCTGCTTTCTTTTTCAGGGAAAGGCTTTCACTTTTATCCTTTATCAGGCTCACCTTCTAATCATCAAGTCATAGAATCGTTTAGGTTGCAAAGATCTAGACTAGAATTCTTCCCATTATTCATTGCTAGTTTTATGAAATGCTGTCATATTATTCCCATCTTGCTCTGATAGTTTTCTGCAGAAGATTTATTGTGTTTTATTTATCCCACTATTTGATACTACTCACTATACCTGTAAATGAATCAAAATTGTTTGTTCATATTTCACTTTAGAGTCTTCTTTTAGTTAGGGCTGGTTCTTGTTTTTTTTCCCCAATGCACTTTTTGTTATTAGTTCCTTTTGCTTCTGTTGTGGTTTCTGGTTTTCTATCTCAACGGAGTTTCCCATCAGAAATTCACTTCCTTTGCTTAGATGAAGCCAAAGAAGAAGCTCCCTGAGAAGTCTTGCTGACATGAGCATTTGGACCAATATACTGGGTCTAGTTGTAATATGGGGGCTTTAGATGTGGTTTTTCCATTGAAAAACTGATCTGCCCAGTCATGCAACTTCATGCTGATCTTCTCTTTTTAAGCCCTGGAAGAGGTAATTCCATGCTTAGACCTAACCTCTGCAATAATTTATCTAAATGTCTAATTTTATGACAATTATTCAATGGTTCTTAGTGAAATCTATTACAGATCTAATGTTAGCCAAATAAATAAATCTTAAGGTTAGATCATAATTTAAAATCCACATTGAGTTGGCCTTCAATGGGATATGCAAGTGTTTCATATTTAGTGGTAAGGAAGTGTCTCTGATGGAGCTATCTCTCATTCCAGGCTTAAAATTCAATTTGTAAAACATTTTCAACATCTTTTGTCTATTTTAAGGCAAAAAGCTTCACACATGAGATGTACTTGGAGATAATGGTTGGGCAAAGCTCTTTCAAAAAATGAGGCCCAGTAATTATAACTATAAAACAGCTCTTACAAAAATTAAAATGCCAAAATGACATACTTTTGGTAACCAACTGCAATGCTTTATAAGGTAGACAAAAAATTAAAACAAATCAGGAATTCAGGGAAGTATGTGCAACATTAAGGCTGGCACAGCATGTTTCCCCTTACTGTAGTGAAAATAATAGTGGTGTCAAACTCTGTTTGCAGATATCATCGCTGATCCTTTGCCTTTGGTGGCTCTATGTCAATTTCCACCAGATAAGGAAACAATACTATAATTCTACCAATTAAAATAAATACTATCTTTTGCATTGTAGAAAGTTTCTAATTTGTAGAATTATTTATAAGGCAAGTGAAGCCTTGAAATTTGAAATTATGATATATCCTCATCTTTTGGCATTTGAAATAATAAAAAATTTTTCCAACACAAATAGGCGACTTTTAAAGTCAGTTTCATGATCTGATTTACTAATATGATATGATGCCACAATTGGTTTTTTGTTTGTTTTTATGGTTCCCTTTGATTATATTTGGGGTATTTTTGTATGTGTTCTATAATAAATTATCTGACCAAAATCATGGTAAATAATAGTACTGAGACTAGTAAAAAGCTGCATTTATTTCCTTTTTCATCTTTGTTTGGCGGTTTGATTTTGGTTGTTTTGTTGGAGTTTTTTTAAATGAGAATTTTCTTTGTATTCCAGGGCTAGGAATGTGAATTCAGGGATTTTCTGAACCCACTAAATTGAAGTTCAGGCTGCAGACTCATTCACTGTGAGATATTCATGCCTAGGTTATCATTGCACACTACATGTAAAAGAAGGGGCCTCTCTGTGTGTTCATCCCTGTTTTTCCTGCAGTGAGCAAAGGCTTCATCCTTGCTGCAAGAAAGTTTCCAGTTTCTTCTGAGCCTTGAATGGAACATAAGGTTTTGAAGTGCACTGGTCAGCATGGTTAGACTCAGGAGGTGAGCACAGGCATGTGATCCCTCAACTTTTCCACTTTCAGGGAGAGAATTATTATTATTATTAATGGTGTAATTATTGTGAGTCTACACCCATGAGGATTCAAGGCAAAGGTTATTACATAGCTGCTTGGACAGAAGAGTAGTGGCAAAGGCATCTGACAAGGGCCAGAACAAGTATGGAAACACAGAAAATCTCTGTGGCTGTCTCATTCAGGATATTTTTTTATGAAGTGGTCTCTATTTTGATTGGTCTATTTGGGCAGTTGCAAATTACCTGATGTTAAAAAAACTTCAAGAAATCTACAAATTCTGGGTGAGAAAACTTGCCATTTCAAGTTTTAAGTTGGACAAGCTTTAAGAAGGACAAGACTTCTTTTTATTCTATGTTTGAACAATGCCTCATGCAAGAATCTTTATGCTTTCTCAAACTCTCTGACAAGTGCTATAGTACACTATTTAGTTCTGGGTATTATTCAGATGTGAAAATGCTTCTTACTATACTACCACTATGAGGTGTACTTTATGCCAAGCAGAGATAGAAGAAAGTTCTGAAACTTAAACAATAATTCTGTTGTTTGAAGTTTATTTTTAAAACATGGAGGAAGGAGAAGAGCTTGATGTTGTGGTTTCTAACAGATGCTCTAATTTTTTTATCAGGCACATCAATTGTTTGAGACATTAAGATGTGAAGAGTAAGTTCTCTTTCTCAGATTTTTGTCTGGAATCCAACCCCCCATCCAATGCAAAGATCAAAGGAGGCTTTCTTCTCTAATATTGTGTCTTAGTAGAGGTCATCATGCTGCCAGTCTTGGCTGCACTGTGATGTGTTGAGGAGTGAGCGGTGAGTGTCAGCTGACACGGTCTTCAGCTGCACCTTCCTCTGCCTCTTCTGAGTGCTTACAGGGAGGTAGGCTGGGCTCTTGCTCTAAGACTGTGTTGGGCCAAAGACTCAAAGCATAAATGGGCTGCAGAGTTTAAAACTCCCCTACAAGGTAGCATTTGCTCTTGTTCTTACGCTGTGTGTTTGTGCCATGTATGGCACCCTCCCATTTCCTCTGAAAACAAACCTTTTCCTGACCTGGTTTCTGGTATAGCCTCTCATATGAAAGAAGAACTTTCTGACAGAGCAATTTGATTTGGGAAGATGGATCATTTTATTGGTGGTAAAACCATTAGCTTTCATCTCTTGACCTTCACCCTCTTTTGTGCACTTTGGGAATTTAATTGAACTTATTGCTATATTTTCTTGCTGATTTGGGTATTGGGAAGCAAAGAAGATAAACATTAAAATATTTTTCCTTCCCCTTTCCCAGGCTCAACTGCACTCCAGACACATCTCCTCCCCTCTTGTTATCTCCACAGGTTATACTCAGTTCCTTTGGTGAGGCAATGAGTGGCACAGGGGTTTGGGGTCAAGACGTCGTGGTTTCCCTCCACTGCTCCTTGTTTCTCACCCTTTTCTTCCACTGCTGCTTCCTTCTTACTAATTTCCTCTACTCCATTATGGTCATTCTGTGGGCCACAATCTCTTTGGGGTTGTGGCTGCTCAGTTATGGAGAACCTCCAAGTCCTCTGACTTTGCTGTTCCCTCATTCTCTTGTTTCTCTCCTTGTCACATTCCCACATTCCCTCCTTGTCCCCTCTGGTTGCCAGTTAATTTTCTTTTCTAAGCCCAAGTCAGACCACAGAAGTGGTGCAAAATAGAACCTGAAGTTCAAAAAAAGATGTACATATATTAATGTATTTCACTAAAAATGATATCCTGAAACTTCTTGGTGCAAAATTTGAAAAGGCAGCTTGCATGTGAAACCAGCAGAAATGGTTGGTGGCTTCAAACTGCTTTCACTGAGCTTTTGTAACAAGTCTAGTTCTTGTCTAGGTTCTTGGTTGAGAGAATATACATAAATAATATAAGAGGTAATTACTATTTTACAGCAGTTTTGTGGCAAGTGCTGGGGAAATTCTGCAAAATATGCCTCTGAAAGACTTGGAAAGCTGGAAAGAGCTATGGCACAGACTAGATTTTGTCAGCAATGAGAAGTTCTGAGCTGAAAAACACAGAGTTCTGTTCCTATAGGATGCAACAGCATATCTTGGAGCTGCTCAGAAAGTGTTTGGCAGATCATCAACTACTTGTCTGAATCTGTGCTGAGTGCTGCAGTCAATGCTCTAGAGCTGGGCATGGGCTACAAACATGAGCCTTGAAGCAGAACTCTGAAATTCCTTCAAAATTTTATTTTGAGGTCCAGTTTGCTCCTTACACTGAGCTAACAAGAAGGTTCAGATAAAAGCCCAAAGTCCACTGCGGTCTGTGTGGGACAGATGAGGGATGTGGAATTTTGCCCTAGATTCATCCTACCATGATACCAGTGACAGATTTGTTACAAGGTGCCATAGATAAAAGGAATCTCTCTGAATGCTTAAACCCCACATGTTTTGGACAATAGTTAAAACATTTAATTTTATTTATTTCAGTATAAATCACCCACTTTTGTGCAGAATGAAGGGACATGCTAGCAGTTTACTATACCTATACTCTCAAAAAAAAAAAAATCCCTAGGCAAAACACTTCCCTAAAATCAGCTATTTAATGCAGCCCCTTTGCCAGCCCTTTGCTGTGGGAACTCAGTCTTTCTTTCATTTCTGAAACCAGACAGATTCTTGTTTTGTGTGTGGAACTGAATTTCTAGGTAAGTGCCCAGGTTGGTTTTTTTTAAGCCTACTAAAGGTGTGCCTTTTTCTTCTTTGGTATGAATTCATTGGTGAAGTGGTAAGACCACTCAAAAATACCTTGCCTATGCTTGTGCATTTAAGACTTTGCAAAGCATTGAGGTGGCTGTAGATGTTCTGTCAAGGTATCAGTTTGGAGTCTGAGTTAGAAAACATCACTTTAAGGAAAGTGAATTACTTAAAATTATGGGGAAAATGCATGAGGATCCTTACAAAGCAGATTCTTGTCTTTAATTTCTGTAGCCCTGTGCCCCGGGAATCTGTGGCCACCATTGCAGCTAAATAAATGATTGACATTGTTCATTCTGGCTTTAGAATAGATTTGGATCAGATGATTGAAATAGTTATTGCACTGTACACAGAGACAAATATGCCAGTGAATTGCTAGGATTCCACCATATAGTTGTCAAGATTTAAAAACACTTCTGCAAATTTTGACTGTACCCTATAACATACTTACCTGAGGCAAAATTCCCAGCTTAGAACATTCATGATTAGTGTTGGATAAAATTCTTCCTCAGTAATATTTGTGTATCCTGTCTCTCCTTTGTATTTTGAAACATCACACACAATAATCAAATATTTAATGAGTAAAATATTGATATATTGATTATTATGTTTCCAGCTTTGAAATAATAATGTTAATTATAATGAGGGGGAAAACCAGCAAGGCAAAAAAAATCTGATTATGGTTTTCTTTAAGAAATATAAATTAAAAAGGAAATACTAAATACATGTTTCTGAGTAATATTGTTCATGCTAAACTGGCTGAAAATATGTCTATTTACACTGTTTATTAAACAATCAAATTTGCCTCTGGAACTCCCTATTAGTCTGAGTGTTTATGTATGTTCATATACAGTCATATGCTAATCTATATTAGAAAGAAACGAAACTTGTTTCAACTGGCTGTGAACTGAAGAGACTTAAACACATGCATTTAATGTGTATTTTCTTGGGCAAATTAGAAGTTATGTTGACTAAGACTTGATGTCTACAATAACACATTTTCACTTTATAATGTCTTTAAAATGTATTTATGATGGTGTGGATAATAATCTAAAAGTTGTGGCATTAATGAAACTGTAAACATTTAAAAAAATTGATTTTTAAAAAATACAGTGTCACAAGTATTTAATTTAATTTAAATATTTAATTTAATTTAAATATCAGCTTCTAATAATAAATCCATTTTATCTTGTTATTAAAAATATTTTACCCTGTAACTGGAAACAATACTGAGTTGTTTCATTTAGTTATTTTAATTTATGCTCAGATAATTATTATTTGCTTTGAATCATACAATATTAAAAATATTGGTTCTTTTAAACAGGATTCAAGTCTTGATATCTAAATAATGGTAAGTCTACAACACCTATATTCTCGTTCATTATTGAGTGTTTCAAATATGCTGCAGAAGACTGTCAAACTCAAATTAGAGGGTGTCTTTAGTTTTTTACAAGGTGTTCTAAAATTATAATGAACGGTTTTCTGAAAATCTACACTTGGTTTCCTGTAGTGGCACAGTGTAGCATTTTCTCTGCACAACTGCTTCAGAAATTATGTGTAATTATTTTTGTCATGTCAATGTTATTGAAAGATGACTCTGGCTTCATTAACAATGTTACACAAGTGATACAAACATCTCTGTATTACAGAATATAAAACTCTCCACCAGCAGTAACAACACCCTTTATGTAAACATCTTTTGCAAATTAAGGAAATGAACCTTGAAACTTTTGACAGAGTGAGTTGAATAATGTTGCCTTTGTGAATTATTTCACTGACCTCAAAGGAGTGAGAACTTTCTCATAATAGTAAAAGATTATGGTGATGCCTTGGTGCCTGCCAAAGATCAGTTCCAGGAGGATGTGTGTTCTATAGCATCACTGCATTTATTTAGGATGGGCTGATTGACAACTTTGAAGGAACCAGCCTGGTCTTTTCTGGGTCCTGACTGCAAAATATTCCTGCAGAGCTTTCCTGACCACGACGTGCTGGGCCAGGCTTTTGAAGATGCTCTAGAAGTGCTGCAGCAGCACTCTGACAGAGAAATGCAGTGCCCACCAGGTAACAAACACCCTTCTTCTACTTCATTTCCCAGCTCCTTTTTTACAGGAAAGCACCTCTTGAAACATACAGGTGGGGGAGTAATTTCCCAGAAGTGAATTAATGGGATGTTTTGTGAGGATGAAAAGGAGGAAAATTATTTGGAGGGTTTTTACCCCTCCATGAGTACTGCCCAGTGTGGTGAATATCTTCCAGGTCACATCAGAGGGAAACTGTTGGACTGGCCCCATTTACCCTCCTCCCAGCAGCAGCCCAGGTGCACCAAGCTCACTTTTCCTATAATCAGAGGATGTGTGACTGTTGTGCAACAGTCTTTTTCCAGTTTTAATGTTTTAACTTCAAAATGCCCCTCTGCTATGCCATGAATCCCAATACAAAAGAAAAAAAAAGACCAGCAAGTGAAATTAATTTCCTCATTTAATTTTTTTGTGCACTAATAATAACCTTAAATATTTTAATGAAGGAATGATCGTTTGGGTCTGGACAATTAATAGAAAATTGTTTTCCTTGACTTCAAGAGTTGTATACTTTACAAAACCTACAATGCAAGGAAGCTGTAAATTGTTCCATTCTGGCAAGGTTTTGGTAACTAAATTACTATAAAATTTAAAATTTGTGCTTTTGCTTTTACACTGTAAGCAGAAATGTAAGGAAAGGAAAACAAACCCTCTATGTCCAGAAAAAAAATACCTGCTGTCTTTTGTGTAAAATGCCTTTCACATGAGGAAGTTGATTTACATATTATGTATCATAAAATGAAATGTAAATAAGACCAGTAGGGCTGTATCTTCTGCTGTTAACAATTTTTTGGCTCCACTGCACTGGTAATTTACACATGCTGGAGGATTCACTATATATAATTAATTGAAATCTTCTTCCTTATATATACATTGTTAGGGCTGATGGAGTTATTAAACCCTTGCAATGCAGTGTTTAGTCTGTCCCCAGCTGCACCCACATTTCCACCTGCAATAGATGTACCCATACCCTCCAATATCTTCTTCTGACCACTTGAAGTAGGTAATTTTTTCAAATGTCTTTAGTCTGGTGTTCTCCTCTGCTTCTTTAAGCGTCACAACTTCTTGTGTTCCTTCTATGTCATTCCTTCAGGCAGTGCAGATGTTCTGATGCTCCTTTACTTTATTCACCACTGGAGACTGACTTGCATTGTACTAAAGGCCTGCAGAACTGCCTGACAGTCTCTTTTCCTTTCTAGGTGTATTATTATAGTCTATATTTATCCCATTCACAATCGATAACCACCACCTATATCTGATGGTCTTTATGGCCCTCTGTCGTCCAGTAACCAAAAAATTTCATGATGCTATGAAATATCTGATATTTTGTCTTAAAAAAATTTACTTTACACGTTTGTGAGGGCTAATAAAACCGGCCCAAGGGTGTGATCAGCACCAGCAGTATCCAGATTTTTCTGGATAACCTACTGATGTGGAACATCTTGGCTCTGGACACTTTATTGTCTAGAAGGCAGCCACAGGATAAATGCTTTTTGACAGGCCTAGCACCATGTCAAATTATTTGCTGTTGTGGTTTTCTTTTTTCCTTCTTCTCTCTTTTTCACTCACTTGGTTTTTGCTCCCTCCTCCTAAATCCCAGGTTATAAAAACTGCGTGACTGTGATCAACCATCACCACCACCTCCAAGCAAGTCCCAGTTACTGTGCAGCACCATCTGGGGAGGAGCAAGGGTATAGCTGGAGAAACGTGATTGTGAGTGAACTCATTTCTAATAATAGTCAGACATAACTGGAAGACTGATTGCTCATTTGGGATTTCTGATACAAATCATTATGCTAACACTAACAGAAATTTGGTCTGGTCAGGCATGATTCAGATGAAACTGCCCTGGGAAATACTTGCAAAATGTGATTAATAATGTATTTTCAGGAGTCAGCAGTTTGCTTCTGATGCTCTTCTGTTGTTCATCACATAACATGACGACTAACAAGCAAACCTACTACGGAATTATTTATAGCACAAAAGGCTTCTTTGTATTACCTGGGAACAGGCAGAGAACAACAGCTTCCAACGCTGGTGTAGATTCTGCCACTGTGAAAAAGAACCATTTGATTTCTCCAACAGCAGTTCTAAAAGCTCTAGAAAGACCAGCATTATCTGAGCACAGCTTCAGCCATTAGAGTCCATATACTCTAATGCACTTAAATACTTAAATTACTAATGCTTAAATACTTAAAAAACACTGGAAGAGTGGTCTTCAAGAGTGATGGAAAATGAATTTTGCAGGGGAGATAATTTCAGGGAAACAGATTCCACAAAAACCCATTTTCCCCCAGAAGATTAACAACAACACAGCATGGGAACTACAGAGTCTGTAGGTGCTACTGTCCAGGTGGCCCTTGTCTTTTCCTAGCTCTGAAAGCTGCTCCTGCTCTGGTTCCAGCAGCAGGGTTGAAGGTCCAGGGTGAGGCAGCTACACTGTTTTCCCTCTCAGCTTCTCCTCTGGAAGGCAGATCTTGCCCCCGGACAAGAATTAGTGCTGCTTGTTACTGGTACACTACCCTGAGTGCCTTCCTGGCTGAGAAAAGTCTTCCATGGGTGAGGTGATGAAAAGTTGCATTTTGAAGGCCTCAGCCAATTAATTGCCACAAGTTTCTTTTTATTCAGAGAATGTACTCTATTAGTAACTTTTTATTGTCTTAATTCTTGAAGAACAGTGCAGCGGATTTTTATGCAGATGAGACTGTCTACCATACACTGCAGAATACTCCAGAAAGTCAAGTGATGCATGCTGCTGCTGGCCAGCCAAAAGGAGGGAAAGGTCTGTAAAAAGATCATATCTTGATGTGTGATTTATGTTACTTTAAAAAACCTCTTAGCGAATCATGCTTTCTCCTTTATATATTTTTTTGAAAGTTTCAACAGGAAAAAGTGAACATTTACTAGTGATTAGGATACAACTGCTAGTGTTCAATTTCCATCTGCTAAATCTAAGATTATAATAAATGATTAATCTATTATTAAATTATTCCATCATTTCTTAGCACATGGAAAACAAAACCAGATATATGTTTCACTTCAAATCATTTAGGATGAAGTCTGATGCAGAGAAGTAAATCTAGCTACCAGTAACATCTTTATCCATTTATACCACTTATTTTATTTCATGTGGCCTAACAAGCAGTAATTTTCTTAAAGGTTTTTTACACACATGAATATTTTTGCATGCCAGATTTCATGCCTTTCTAAGTTTACTTTTCAAATCACCTTTCATTTTTTGTCACTTCCAGTGACAAAATATCATTTTTATGGCTATTTTCCTGCTTCTGGTTGAGTTTACTTGAATTGATATCTATTTTGCAAAGAATTGGTCGTGTGGCATTGTTATTGCAGTACTCCATTTTTTTATTGCATTCATTATTTGGGTTTTTGGCAGGGAGGGACTCAGCAGCCTTTCTGTGACTGCTGGATGAGATTTTCACAGCTTCAACTCTGAGATATTGTACCTACTTTTGGCCATGAGGCCTTTTTAAGTAGCTTCCTGATTTAGCTGGTTTTTTGAAATCCCCTTTTCTCAGGTTTAACCACATGGTGTCAGTTTTTGGTGTTGTCTCTGCCCATTGATGATGAACACTGTGGTCTCTGTTGTTTAATAGCTGCTACTACTACTACTACTACTACTACCACCACCACTACTACTACTCTTGCTATTGCTACCATAGACTTTTAGGATGGTGAAAAGAATAGAACTACCACCACCACTAGAGTAGTAGTACTCTTGCTATTGCTACCATAGACTTTTAGGATGGTGAAAAGAATAGCCTCTGTTTCTCAGTTTTCTACTTCAGATATCTGAAATTCACCATTGCAAATGAAAACCTTTTAAATACAGAAATGTTGCTTTCCCAAGTCTTATCCAGGGTTGCATTGGGGAATTTTACATGTCAGTATCTGATTTGACCTTCAGTTATTACTGCTCTGTTAAACTTCATTTCCTGTTTCCTATTTCTTTTACACTGTCATCAATCTTCTTCAGGAGACAACCTGCACATATTTGCAGAGTGATTAACTATTCTTATGGGGTCATTTTCTGTCCTTTTACAGATTTCTGTGTCCATGGTGATATTCCTGCCAGAAACTGTGGTTTGGGGGACTATTTTCACTTCACTAAATTAATTTAGTCCTCCTAGTTTCTTGTTGAGACATAAGAGATCTGTACACTAGCAATTAGTGTGGCTTTTTAGGAATAGAGCTGTAGATAAAACCATCAGGACTGAGAGCCCAAATCCTGTGTTTAAAGTGTTTCACAACATTTTATTTAGGGCAGTCTTTAGAGGCTGGTCACAAGTTCTGAAGGGCACACTGACATAGATATGCTTTTGGAAAGTATCTTTTGAGATAGGTTTCCTCTGAAAAGAGTCCAGTTCAGTCACGACAAAACCATTCCTGATCTGGACTCATGCTTAGTGGAGTGGAGGCAATTTCAGAATTGAATTGGATGCATTTTCCCTGAGAAAATTAGGTGCCTTCAGGACCATTCAGCACCGAAATCTAATGAAGATATTCTGAAACAACTTCTGGAGGAACCTGCTTGTCTCCAATCACCACATAAGAAACCTGCAGGTTTCTAACCTGCTGGGCTTAGAATGATGTTGAGAGCGTGAAAATGAACATCACTGGCTTATGCAATGAGACACAGTACGAAGATCTGTTAACTGACCCCATCTCAAACTGGAGTGTAGCACTTTGGGGATAACAGCTGGGCTCTGGAAAAACAGCTGCAGAAACCCATAACAGCAAATTAGCCCTCTCCAACAAACACATCAGCTATAGGTGATGTGTCTAGAAATAAAAACTTGGGCAGAAATGACCACCGAACTAAGAGGCCAAACAGCACTAAATCAAGTGCTGCTGCAGACAAGGCTACACTATTCTTTTCCAGCAGAAATTTAGTCCACAGTAGTCCATGGATTTTCCCCTGATCTTGTTTGTTCTACAATCAGTTTGTAGGATAATTCAGGTTGGAGGGGACCTAAGGGGGTCACCTTCTAAGAAGTGTCCATTGTGACAAGGCAATGTCCTTCACAGGTTCCTTTTAGGCTTCTTAGTAATCTATATGTGTTTCTAGTAGAATATGTACTTCCAGCCTCAGGCCAATTTCTACTTAGATAATGAAACTTTATTAATTTTTTGGAAAGTACCTCTGATTTCAGGCTCTTCTTCTTCCCAGCCTGACTGTTACTTCTCTCCTCTTTCCTTATCACCAGATACAGAGTTACTGTCATCCCTGACAGATGTCTTGGCTTGACCTCAGTGTTCCTTAGCAACTGTCACTTTTCCCCTGTTCCTAGTTTAAAATAGCCACACAAGACAAGACTTTATGAACTTTAGGTGCAGCTGCTTATTTCCACTTTGGTTAAAGTGGAAGATGTTCTTCTGCATAGATTCTCTCTTCTGCAAAATGTTCCTCTTTGTCTGATAATCTTAAATTCTTCCTCCTTACAACAGCTTCTTGATCACCCTTGGCTTTGGGAAGGGAACTAGAAATACTTCATAGAGTAGAATCCACAAGATCTATGTGAAACTAAATAAGCCTTACTAGGAAACTGAAGTTTGAGAACTGAGCCTGTGGAGAGAAGCACTTAGTTAACTGGCAAATATTTCAGTACCAAGCTGATGGGGGCTCCTGGGACGAGTGAAGAGATCTAAATCTTGACTCTATGTTTCAGAAGGCTGGTTTGTTGTATTATGATATATATTATATTAAAATTATATACTAAAACTATACTAAAAGAATAGAGAGAAAAGGATTCATCAGAAGGCTAGAAAGAACAAGAATGGAATGATAACAAAGGCTCCTGACTCCCACAGAGTCCGAGCCAGCTGACTGTGATTGGCCATTAATTAGAAACAACCAACATGCACCAATCAGAGATTCACCTGTTGCATTCTACAGCAGCAGTTATTATTTACATTTTTTTCCTGAGGCTCTTCAGCTTCTCAGCAGGAAAATCCTAGCAAAGGATTTTTCATAAAATATCATGGCTACATCAAGCTTGCTTTTTTCTGCATGGGAATGCAAACTGACACTTCTGCAGATTTTTACAATAGCAAAGGGTACCAGAAGATCTAGTTCCTTCTTGATTACATGAGATTTCTGGTTAAAAACTAACCTGCTTTTCCTGCTCACACACTTACTCTTTCTTATATCAGAGACTACCTTGCATCATCAAAACATTCCTGAAACAAGCCCAACAAAACTGAGTCATCTCAAAATCTCTGAGTTTTGAATAAACAGAGAAACCATTCATTCAGACATTCAGATTGGCTCTCCAAAACCTCTTTCTTGCCTTCTCTGAGGATGTAATTTCCTACCGTGAGTTCCTTGAGTGTGCATCTGCACAGCATGTGTCTGCAGACTGATGTTTCTGAGACCTACCACACAGTGAAGTCACCAGACATTTGTCATGATCCTCACATAACCTGCTTTTGAAGCTCTAATGACAAATCCCCTTCTGTCACCACAGATCTGTACACCCTTCAGAACCAGAGTGTGATGCTGGTAATGTCAAGGTTGTGGATTTGATCCCTGTATGAGCCATTCACTTAAGAGTTGGACTTGATCCTTCTGGGTCCCTTCCCACTCAGACTATGCCATGATTCTGTTTTGCTCACAGTTCTGTGATCCCATTTGCTGTTGCTTGTTCTCCACTGAACAGTTTATAGTGATCTTTTCATTTGGGACAACGTACTAGGTTTAGCTATGCTTTTGCCTGTTAGACCCTTTCCAGGAAAAAGACAACTGCTCATCTTTTAAAACAAGCACGAGTTCTGTTCTGACCTTTTGTGATTTATTTCTTATAGGCAGAAAAAAGCTTCGACTATTTGAATACCTCCATGAGTCTCTCTATGATCCAGCTATGGCAAACTGCATCCAGTGGGTGGATAAGCCAAATGGTGTCTTCCAGTTTGTCTCCAAAAACAAGGAGAAACTTGCAGAACTCTGGGGAGAAAGAAAGGGAAACCGCAAGATCATGACTTACCAGAAAATGGCCAGAGCCCTGAGGAATTATGGAAGAACAGGTGAAATCATTAAGATCCGTAGGAAGCTGACATACCAGTTCAGTGCTGTTGTTTTGAAGAGACTTGCTCCATCTTATTTCTTGGGAAAAGAAACAATTTATCATCCCTACATTCAGTCTAATCAAGAATATCAGTGTGCAGATGACTGGACCAGTTACAATAATTACATGTACAACAATGGTTATGCATTACAGCATGCTAACAGCTAGACTTACCTGTCACATGAACAGGCCTTTGTTATCCAGCAATCCTTTGCAGCACTGAAACTCTTCTCTCTGCATAGCTTTTCCTTTAAGATATCATACAAACTCATGAAGAGGAAGGGTTAAAAAATTATATTGGCCTAGTTTTTTTTTCCTTTTGAAGTTAGTGATATGCAGTCATTGAGTCTTGAAGAAATCTAGCAGCTATAGAACACATTCTATTCTCCATGATGCTAGTCAAAGGAATTACTGTAGTTTCAAGCTGATATATTCAAGAATAGGATCAAGGCTTTTGTCTGTTAGTGGACATTGAAGATCCAATTGTGACAATTCTCACTATAAGTTTTATGTACACCTACAGTCAGAATTTAGGTGATGTTGTACCATGGCTGCTGCATCCCTAAGCTAGAAAGGGAAGAGATTTGCCAACTGCATGAAGCTGCTGTCTGCTTTTTTCACCAATGTTCTTTAAAAAAGGACATTTTCTGAGTGAATGCCTGGCTGACTGATGGAGTCCACATGAGGGTGCACCTGTTGACCAACTTGTTAATCCTTAATCACTTAAATTAACATATCTTAGCACAGCTCCTGACATATGGTATTAGGATTGCCAGGTGCACATTATACTGTTGGCAGTGGATTCATTGGGACCATGAGAGAGTTAATAAAGGATTTGTGCTTTTGATTAATTTTTTATTAAGTTTTGTACGGTTCTTCTCCCACTAATATGAGGAGCTCCACTTTTATCCAGTAGTTCTGTACTGACCTAAAAGACATAGCTTTGCCATTTATTTTAGGTGTTATAACTTTATAAATAAAATCTCATTTTTCCAGCTCTTTTTCTAAATGGGAATGTAGCTGAAAGGCTCCATAATTTTACATTCTCTTCCTGGGGAAGAAGAACTAAATTTAGACAAAAAGAGAATAGTGGACCCTTATGTCAGGATAATACCTATAAATCTACTTCTTCTCATACTTCTGTTACCTGACCAGCTTGTATCTTCACATGAGATGTCTTTCGTGCTGAAATATTTCCATTCAATTGCGTTCCGTTCCAACTTCTGCATTTTGCAGTGTGTAGGCCTGGATATTAATAAAGACAAAAATAATTTCTGTGGAGAGCTATAAATGGTGGGCTGATATGTTTGATGAAACTCATTGACTCTGATAGTTGCCCTTTGCTCTGACTCCTGTTTACTTGTAAAGGGTTTTAATTTTATGTAGTAGACACAATGCAATGCACTCTGCCTGAGCAAAGTTCAAGGTTTAGGGCTGCTACTTTGGTAAGATGACAGATATTTGCTCTTAGAAATATGAAGCACGTTAAATAGCACTAAAAAGAGACCCAGACTTTAAGTCGAGGGGGTTGGACCTCGGTGGAGTGAGGGCTGCCTCTTTGGCATGGGGGTGGCTCTGGACCCACAAGGTGGCACCAGTGGACAGCTTTTCACGCCAGGACTGTGACACTTGCAGGCCTCCAGGTCATTTGTTCTCCCAATGTCCCTTTAGGTTTTTTTCCTTCCCCACCGTGTTTAGTTTTTTCATCTCCCTGCAGAGCACTGCTGCAGATGTGGCAGAAGCAGCGCTGTGCCTTTGGAAATCACCACCTGTCCAGTTCCAGCTGTGGCAGATGCAGGAAGTGTTGTGACACATTGGTGACACAAAACCCACGAACTAAAGCAGATACATTATGCCAGCCGATCACAGATGGGTGCTGACTGCCCTGGGCAGTGGTCATCTCTACATCTGGAGCTCAGTGTCTTCTCCAAAATAAATCTGGCTCAGCCAATGTGGCTGAGGGTGATGCCTGAGGAAAAAAATAAAGCTGATCGCTCTGATTTAGACTTTAGGATTCCTGCAAGCAGAAATTACATCAAGAGCCTTACAGACTCTGTGAAAGAGGCAGAACTAGAGCACTTCAGCAAAATATTTTTCTACCCCATCTTGCCTGGCCTATGCAGTACTTACATATGTGTGTGCTGTTCAGTACACCAAAAACAGATGAGATACTTAGCTTCCAGATGAAAAATAATTTGATTTCATTTATTTTGGCTTGAATTTGACTCCAGTGGAAGTTTTTAATTTTGGCAGAACTTTGAGCACCCATCAAGTCCCTGCCTCCACCTTGTCAGACACCAGATGTGCATTCTGGTGGCAGATGGGTCACGCTGCCCTGCCATCCCATGTGCAGAAGGGGGCTGTCTCATGGAGAACACTGGGTTATCAATCCACACTACTTACAAGCTGATGTCTTCTATCACATCACAGACCTGCATGTATGGGTTGACTATTAGTGCATTGCTTAGTGAGTGTAAAAAGAACGGAAAATAATAAAACAGCAGGTAGCTTTTTTTCCCCAAGAAACTGCCCCATGGCTTGTTGAAGCATCCTAAGTGCCACATGTAAACAAAACTGTGTATTATTCTTTTTTAAATCTTTTTTTTTTCTCTTTTTTTTTGTTTGGTTAGTGAGAGCTACCCCTTCACTCTTGGTAACATCTAAACAATCATAGATTAATTGCCTAATAGATGGCTGACTGCAAACACTCACTGGTGTATGAAGGTAACACTGAAGCTCAAGCTGGCTGTTCAGGCTATTTTCTAGTTATGTTCCATTAATGGCAATTTTCCTACTTTCCAAACATTTTTCTATGGAGAAGGCAAAAGCTCACATTGTCTCTAAACTGCAGGAGCAGACTCCTACATCCATGACTAAGCTGAGGGCAATGAGATTGCATGTACCTGCTGCTGTCTGCATGAACAGATTTGATCAAGAAACTGGACAGATTATGGGATCAGAAAACAAAATTTGCATTTTAGATATTTTTTGGACAATGATCTTCAGTTTTCCTTTCACTCTACATTTCAGACTGAAAAATTTCAGGTACTATTCCACATTGTGGTTAAGGTCTCACATATGTTACAGAAAACCTGGTAAACTGAATAGTGAGTGCACCGTGTAGAAAAATCCCTTGTTAATAATGACAGCAGAGGGCGTTTGCCGAGAGGATTCGTTTTCTTGGGTTTCTTAGGTCCAGCAGAGTTCCCTGTGAGTCACCAGCAGGCCTCCTGCAAGTGGCGCTTCACAGGCACTTCACTTCCACCTGTGTGAGGACCTCTGCTGAAATCTGCCACCGCTCTAGATCTTATCTAGATCTTATTTCACCCAGCTTTTAGCTGTCTTACCTGTTGTGAATTTCTTGTGGTGTAATTTGGACCAAACACTGCCAGCAGTGCCAGTGAACTCATCCATGGTTTATAAATGTGTTGTCCTGTCTTTTCTTGCATTGCCTTCACCTTCACTGGTGTATCTCAAAGGGCTCTGTAAAAATCCTGATATCCCCATGGTATCTGCAGGTAGGGCAGAGCACGCATGAGGCGCGGTCAGATGTGCATGGATCAGTGGAAGGTGAGGAGAATTCCAGCATTCAGAGCCTGTCCTACAGCCAACAGTAAGGCCTGCCATGTGCTGATCCAATTTCCTGCTCTTTCTGAGGCATCAAAACAAATAAGCAAAATAATTAACAGAATCTAATCTATGCACTGAAAGGCCCAAAAGAGAAGCGAGCAATGCCCTGCTGACTCATGCAGCACACCTGGAGGCAGCACAGGCTTTTTGTGTGACTCAACAGCTCACATGAGATTTGAAATGTAGGATCATAGAATCTAGGATTGCTGTAAAAGAACTTCTAGATCATCAGGTCCAACCCAGCACTGCCACATCCACCACAAAACCTTATCCCTAAGCACCACATCCAAATGTCTTTTGAATACCTCCAGAGATGGTGGCTCGACTAGTTCCCTGGGCAGCCTGGTCCAGAGCTTGGCAACCCCACCAGTGAATAAATATTTCCTAATCTCCAGTCTAAGCATTCTCTGGAACAACTTGAGGTCATTTCCTCTTGTCCTATGGACACCTTTTTGCCTGAGCAGAGCATTTATTTTACTTTTTTCTAGTGAAGGAAGTTATATCTAATTATGACAGCTGGGAACTCCAGGCCAGGCAGGTTTGATGCTGGGCATACATTTTAAAATGCAACTCTCCCAAGGCAACCCAGCACCTAAGAGGCAGCAGCCACCTTGTTAGGAAGTCACACATTGAACAGTCAGTGTTGATACAATGGATTATAAGGTGAATTACAGTGCAACCAGGCTGTATTAGCAAGATGCCATCAAACTGCACGCAGAGTGTAAACTGATGGATGGAAAAGTAAATTCCTTATTTGACATTCCAGAAACACATAACCTGAGCCAAGAGTTCAAGAACCACAATGAAATAAAAAAGACAGACAGCTGGTTGTTTGTCAGGATATCTCTGTGTAGAATTTGAGGCTTTAATTACATATGGGGAATATTAATAACAGTTCAAAGTGGAATGTAGCTAATCATTACGGTAGGATCTCCAAGAAGAGTGATGGTGAAGCCATGCAAGATTTTCTTTCAGAGGAAATGAAAACTCAGCAAATCTATTTAGAGTACTAGCAGTGTGTAGTAGAAAAGGTAGACTTTTCTGCCTCATTAGAGCAGAAAAATTCAATCACAATCAGAAGACACAATTCTTTACAGGTTTGGCTAACCTCTCTAGTCATCCTGAGATCCAGAAAACACAGGAGATGGCTTAAAAACAATGATTAATAATAATAATAACAATAATAATAATAATAATAATAATAGAATTAGGTAGTTGGCCTTCTATTTTTTTAGCTTTTAAATTTTGTGTTTACCATCTGTACCCAGCAATGTTGAGGCTAACACTCTTCAAAAAGGAACCAACCTGGCAGATCTGAGATTGTTGGAAAAGCTGCACATTTGAAGAGATGCAAAATAGTGAGGAGAACTCCATCTTCTATACAAGAATCAACATGTTTCATAATGAGGCAAACTCATCCACTACAAGGGGTTATTGACTCCCAGAGAGGGATGAAGGAAATGCTTCTCCAGGGTTTTGTTTGGCATATGGGAAGAATTTAATTCCCTCTCTGATCTCTGCAAAAAAATTCACTTCCTACATAGCTCTGGTCTACAGAGCTGAACTATTTGCCAAACTTTAAATTTAAACCCCTGTTGTTACATTTTTTTCTCCTTGTGTGAGTTCTTATTCTTTCTG